CGGCCCAAGGCGCTTCCTGATTGTAGGCACGTCCGATTTCTTAGCTATGGCGCTCGCTTGGATCCCCATCAAACTTTTCCTGGAAGGAGTGATCGATGCCGCCATCCTCGCAGCCAAATCAGTCTGCGCGCACGCCGTTGATCTGCTCCGGGTCCTCCTTGCGCCGGCGCCTCTGACGCGCCGTTCCGTTCCACCCCGCGGCCGCCTGTTTGGCAAATCCGAGTCACTCTACGAGTACACCTTCGTCTTTATTAGCTGTTCAATCATCTTGCATAATTTGGGAATCTTATTAATCCCCAATCCATTGACTCTTGCTTCCTACCCGTTCAATTTATTCATGTACCAGATTCATGGTGTTTGGATTTAATTGGAAGAAGTGACATGTGTCTTTCAATGTGCAATCAGTTGGACAAAACAACGAAGAACACTTCATTTTTGTTGTTGCAACAAATTATAGGCTACCGCACGCATATGTTCATCTTCCTCAAACTAGATGATGAATGATGCCTGAGCCAGTCATGTCGCTCATCTTGATCTGCCATCACCATTTTCTCAGTCAGGTTGGATGTAGATCTACATAACTATATTTCGTGAAATTTTATTCTTCGTCATGTGTCAGGCAGGCCAGTGCTACAGATGGATCCAATTAAATTTACTTGGCATGTTCTCCACATTTCCAACTGATGGTTTTATGAAATATGGCGCTGGAGCATATCATTAATTTCCTTTTGTTCGGTCATATGAATTCTTGTGATGAGATTGGATTCTTTATAGACAGGAATCAGTGACAAACATGGTTGAATGAAAATATCACGTATGTGCTAATACTGGTATTTTTCAGTTGAATTTTTTTCCTCAATTTGTGAAGATCTGCAACATTTAACACGTGTTTTTCTTAGTTATGGTTGTTTGGACCAATTCAATATTTAGTAGTCCCTACTCAAGGAACTATTATTCCCTTGAAAAAGAACCATCGTTTTCGCCAGATAAGAATGGACGAGGTTAGTCGATGCGACCCCTTTTCAGTTTTGTCAAATGTACGTCTTTATAATTGTCACCTTAGCTAACCCTTTTGTTCTATTTTTTTTAGAAAAGGAGGAAGACCCCCGGCCTCTGCATCTGGGCGATGCATACAGCCACTTTATTAATTATTCTCAAAAGACCTTACAAAGAAATACAGCAGTAAGTCTGAAGCCACCGTCTAGGCAACATCTGTTGTTACTCCTATTCATTTGATGAAGGGATGCTGATAGTCTGGGCCTAATACCAAACAAACCTTGCAGCCAAACCTAACATGTAAGACCTGAGTTCCCATCCAAGACGCCTGTCGGGTATGGGTCACCCACCGGTCCGGCGCACTCCTCAACCAGGACGCCTGCCGGATATGAGGTCGCCGCAGCCACCTGCCACCAATCCATCTTCAGAGATGTAGTGCTGCATCTACCTTGCCCGGTCTAGCTGCCGTCGACACCATCACGACGCCAGACAACGCCACCATGCTGCGCTCGTCCATCAACACACGCCCAGTAGCGAGACCCCGCTGCTCCATGCCGCCGAGATCCGCCATTGTCGACGAATCAGATGCAACGCCGCTCCTCCTTCGCGAACACCACCTTCTACCACTGGTCCTATCCCCTCCACCTGTAGATCCTCTGCACTCCCAACCGAGCCCCAGTGCCCCTGACGACACCTCCAGGAAGGTCACGACGCAAAAAGCGCCGCTGCCGCCAGATCCGAAAAGGATTGAAGGTTTTCTCCCGGCCGGGGATCGGGGTGGGTAGATTGGGCCCTCAGCTGCGCCTTCATGAAGGAAAGCGGCACCCATGAGCGTCGCCGCCACCGGGCCGGCTAGACTGGCCAAGGTTTCCCCCGGACCCAAAGTTCACCACCAGGGCTCACCACCACCGGAGCCTGCAGCCGCAAACCACCGGGACGACGACAGAGGCAGCAGGAGAAAGAGGAACCTCCAGATCTGACGCAACGGAGAACCGCGCCATGGCCGGACTCCACCAGCGACCCGCCACCCGCGCAGCCGAGTACGCTGGCCAGCGTCGCCTGCAGACGTCTCCAGCCGCCGGACGCCGCTGCCTCGCCGATACGGCCGCCGCCCAAGGATCTGTAGGCCACCGACGCGATACTCCAGCCCGCAGACCGACGAGATCGATCCGGGCGCCTAGATCCCCGCCGCCACCTTCCCCGGCGTCCACGCGGGCGTTGCTAGCGGCCGTCTTCGGCGGCAGCGAGGGACGGAAGGGGGATGAGGGGAGGCGCGCGGCGATAGATGGGATCGCCCCCGAGTCGCCAGGGGGCTATCTCTTCTAGCGTGTTCAACTAAAAATAGCTAATTGACCTTTTTTATCTTCATATAGCTCTCTCTGTTCCGGCATGTTCAACTAAAACTGTTATATGCATCATCATTCATTGGTTCAATCATCGTTGATAATCTGACAAAAAGTTCACTACTTTGATACTATATGAAAACTTTATGAAACCGACAAGCTAACCTTCTGTATCAATGAGAATTTTAAGCCTCTCATAACCTTTTGAAGGAAAAATGCCTATTGGTGTTCATCTCAAGAGCATACCCCCATGGAGCAGCTTCGATTTT